AGGTTTATCACAACCGCAGCTATAATGTCTGTGTTTTCTACATTACAGCAGTTTTCGTTACTTTTGAACCTTTAGGAGTAACGTTTATTTCATAAAAAAACTTTGTGTGGAACTCCTTTCAATATTTTGTCTTAAGTTGAAATTGAAACACCTACTGTTCAATGGTTTATTCCTCCCATTCTGAGTTTTCTAATTCACCATTTGAGCTTTCTAGACCTCCATCATATGGAACTGATGTTACTAAACTATTTGATCTGAAAATCCCATAAAGCAATGATAGCGACTTTTGTTTTTATCTTCAATTTTTACTAATTCAAATTTTATTACCAATTGGTCAGTTTACTTTAAAGATGTGCATCTACTTTACTTTAGTCATATCGCATACTGTCATCCACTATGGCGTTTATGAATTAGTCGTGTGCCAAGGAATCCATAATTTCATGTTGACCACCTGGGGAACACAGATGGACAAGTTTTTTTTTGTTTTTACTTCTTTAGAAATTTTTGCTAAGATTTCGTCTTTCCTCTGCTTCTAAACTTTACTTTAGAAACTTCTCTTTGTTGTGGTACTCTAGCTGCATTTGATAAAGTGGCCATAAATGTCTGGCAGTTATTACACTCTCAGTTGGAAGGCTGCTTAATGTTGTTAAAACTGGTACTTTTAAATTTGCAGCTAGATGAATAGCTTAATATTGACTGCTCCATCCATTCACTTTGTACATTATTGAAACTATGCCTCCTATAGTGCATTTTCATTATAATCTGTTCGTTTCGCAATTGGGCTGGCCTGCTAAGTTGTAACAAGATATGGTAGAGGTATAGTTGGAGTAATATGAGAACATCCTTATGTCATATGGGACACACCAGTAGTGGTAACACTGTATAGTTAATGGAGTATAAAATTGGAATATTTGCTCAGATATTAACAGAGGCGAGTTTGATCTTTAACTTTGTCAGTTTAGTTTCTAGATGTTTTATCTTGGTATTGATGGTCTTTTGTGCTTTATGCGTTTTGTTGTTATAATCGTTCTGATCTTCACTGATGTCCTTATGTTCTTTTTTATTTTATTTATGTCGTTTTTTACTTCATTGATTTCCTTTTGTATATTCCTATGAAATTCTCAATCTCGTCTTTGATCAAATTAATTTTTGATCGCAATAGCTGTGTAAGTCTTGCCGTTCAGTATCTCAGCGCTAAAAACCAAGTTTCGATATCCGTAGTGAACAGAGAACAGATAGATTATTGTATAGCTTTGTGATTAATAACAAACAAACTACAAGATTTATGTTGCGTTCTTGAACTTTTTCTCTTAATTTCCAGTTTCTTTTTCTAATTTTGTCCCTTTCTTTTTGATGTTCTTTTAAATTCCTTCTCATTTTATTCTAATTTTTATTCTTTTTCTGATTCATCTTCTTTCCACTGTTTTATCATTTCCATTACATCTTCAATATCGTTTCAAACATATGTCGTGGCCAAACTGAATTTTTGTTTCGATTTTATATTTACCAATGTAATCCTATTTCTGACCCCAATGTTCTAATGGTATATATTTTTGGCCGGTTCTTTTAGAATAATGCAAAGTCCAATATACTTAACGATAACCAAAACGTTTTATTTTTCAACTTCAAATTCCTTAGCTAGGGTAATTTGCTAATTTCGTATTTCTATTTCTTCGTCAAAACGCATTCAGTATTTTGCAGCACTAAATTAATTAACGAACTAATTGGTTGACTGCATTCACTGATTAAACAATATGTTACTGATACACTGACAGACTCACTTGGTCTGTCCAGTCTAACACGCTTTTTATATATTCCTTAAATTTGGTGAAAGTTCCAAACAATACTCAGCAGGTTACATTAAATTTCCTTTCAGTAAAACAATAATACACGTTTCTAGAAACGTCTAGATTAAAAACATATCCTACAACAGTGCAGAAAACCTCTGGTCTATCTCTCTTACTATGTTGTACTGTTTTACTTACAGTTTTATAAGCGTTGATGTGGGTTCAAAGTGTATTTCAGTGTTCTTATTTGCATTAAAGTTATGGTTTTGTATATAGTCATTTACCTGCTATTTCACATATATTAGAAGGCCAACATCGTATAAGATTATAATTCATCTTTTAAAAATATAGCAGTTTGAATTGGAATTATATCACTAACATCAAGGTCGGACAAATATTTTAAGAAGTTGTAAAAAAAAAAGTTGATAATTATAGTAGTAGTAGAGTATTACAAATATGTAGTTAGAACAACAAAATTTTAGTAATTGAGAATTCTGCATTTTATACTTCAGTATTTTTATCTTGTAAATATTTTGAACAATTAAATACACGGAATAAAGCAGCCATTTAACCTCTTAAAGCTCCACCTATAGGGCTAATCAACTAAATAACTTACACAAAGTGACTAACTTATTTGTTCTATATTTTCTTCTATGCTGCTGTTGCCCATGTGACTTTTTTTTGTAGTATAGTTGAGACATACATTTCTTTTCATTACATGTATTAACACAAACTTTATAATTAATTTCTAACATCCAGATAATCACACAACGTCAAAATTCACAGGCCAGCCTCATTATATTCGCATAAAATATATATATATATACCTTTAACAAGAACGTCTAACGTATATTATAGTATAGTATATACTGTACACGAGCCTTCCGAAGATGTATCAAACGCAGTATATTATCATTATGAAAAAATAAGGAGAGTCATGTTAATTTAAACTCATAGTACATTCATAATTTACATTATACTTATTACAATACCTTATACTCATAACCTTTGATGTGTACAGAAGCTTTTTATAACTTCATAAAATCTTAAACTTGAAACGACAATATTACCGAGTTAAGCATTCGTTCAGGGATGTTTTAGACGACATATTTTGACAGAGATAAAAAGTAAACATTAGTACTCTTTATCACATGACAGATAGTAGATTCGAGTCTCTTTTTTTTTCAATATTCTTTTTACTTTGGTGAAAGACAAAAAAATGCGATGGGTAAGTTTACACAAAATAAATTCAAAAAATTAAATTATCTCGTCTGCTCAAATATACAAAACACACACACACACACAAACACCATGAAACAATATCCTAAAACTCCTACAAACATATATAGTTATTGTTTTTAACAAATCGGGAAAAAAACTTATCACTGACAATCCAGGAGATTGAGTAGGTAATATTAAAATAATCTTGAATATGCGATTCAGCAAGTCATGTACAACTACAGCCAATATAAACTAACGGTGGAATGACATATATCGTAACTACGTTTTGATATCACTTAATATGTCTTAGGTAGTATGAAGCCGCCGAAAATTGATTGCTGTTGGAAAGAGTATGTAACAGTTCTTGCCAAAAGCAAAATATTCATATATTCAAATCATAAAGATGTTTCCGGATCGGGAATTTGAAATTTTCAAGACAGAAATACTCCTTGTTCTCAACAACATTCGAAAACAAGGGAATGTGGATCAACTTATGGACCCGACCTCCCAGAAAGGGACTTGTAACAAGTCATATCTTAACGGTGGTAAACAAAGGGCAGCGTCTTATAACAGGTAGGAATCCACAAACACAAAGATCAGTGGCAAAAGTCGTCCATGTGTCCCAGGCAAAGGTATGCAGCATAATCAAGAAGGATCTCTGTCTGGAAAAGTGACACAAGTAACGCATATACAAGCTGCTTCCATGACATACCAATTCATACCTTCAGCAGCTGGAGAACGAAGCTATTCCTTACGAAATCATGCTGTTCAAGTTGCCGGACACAGAACCTATGTGTTTCTACGTAATCGGACAGTTGAAGCGGGCGCTGGAAAACCGTTGTACACGTACACTAAATATATGAAATATAGAAAGCCTTTAAAAGGAGAGGTGTTTTTGGACCTAACAGTCTCATGATAGAGTTTTTGCAATGGAAAGTACCATGCGATTCTTTTCTATTACAAAACATTTGCATAGTCGTTTTCTTATAGGAAGTAAAAACAATGTAATCTAGTGGTGCTCAATACTGCTGGCTTGTACAGCTAGCCAGCTGTAAACTGAAGCCTTGCTGACGCTGTAGAAGTACTACTTAACACGTTGTATTCAGCGTGTGCATCTCAAGAAATATATGTTGTTTTTCATCTGGTCTTTCAAACACTCAAAAGAAATGAAAAGAAAATAGCACGAAAGCCTAAAATATAAATAATCTTACGAAACGCAGTTGACTGAGGTTTCTTACCAAATAAATGAAAAAAAGCTATATATGGATCATATACTATGATAATCATTACTGCAACTATATCTGTCTCAAATCAGACGTTGTTTTGATTACACTGACTAGCTGTTGAGTTTGTTGTTATTAAGAGGTTATAGAACAGCACTTTGCTTTTGTCTTTGTCTGACACAGAATTGCATGTATAACCGAAGTCATTCAATAATCAACACTACATGAATTAACTATAGTATTACAGTCTACACGGAAAACTGCCAAATATTACAATAATAACTATTACAGATATTTCATACGACGAAACAAAACACACAATGTTTAGCACGGAAGGTAATTTCAATAGAAGTGTTTTAAAATATCCATAATAAACAGGAATTGTTAGCATTAAATCGATGACAAGACAAAAATTTTGGTTATTAGTGTTCTAAGTGTTCATTACTGACTGCCTTAATGAATGCCATATTTGTTAATATCTGAAACAGAAAGATTTCAACGTATTACTTATCGATTCCTGCGTTTGACACTCCCTGTAGTTGCTGTACGATATCAGGTAAATTGTAAAAAAATTCGCGATTTCTTCAGCTCTTCAGTAGCAATACTAGTCTTGATTGATTGGAGTGTTTTGTTTTACATAATTAATAGCACTTGATTTAACAAGTAAATCCAAGAACTTCCTATATTAACCTAAATATATTGTGTTTTCAGATTCTAACCGTTTGTAAAGGCTAGTAAACAAGTTAAACGCCCTGGCTTAACAACTCACCATGCGGTAGCAACATCACTGATTACAGTGTATACTGTGTTTGGCTGAATACTTCATCTGGCACCCTTCCAACGAACGTTTCGTCTGTTCGCCTCGCGAGACCTGTAATATTGATCGCGCACGCGCTGCTTTCAGGCACCAGACAGGCTCTTTCGCCCAATAAAGTTGAAGGGAATAATAATACGCGGGAACTCTTCCGGTATATCCTACAGATGCAATAAATTTTTAGCTCTTGAGTACTATTGATGCCTTATAAAGCGAATATACTTTTAACTATGTATTTTTTTCGAACATGCTGCGTCATTGGTCAATTATTCGCCAAAAATCAGAAATTAGGTAAACGCACAAAATTTCTTTATGTATACCTACGTAGAAGGAAATGTAAGAAATAAAAGACAAACGTAAATATTTTTATATTTCTTTACAGTGTTTTACATGAATCATTTGCCTCCTGACGATTTGGGTTAAGATACAAAAAATAAGAATAAATTTTGGAGTCAATGTCGTGCAATATCATTCTTATTTTTCGCTAATGAGATACATGCAACTGTTCAGCATATTAATAATAAGACTTCGCATCGAGAGGCGTTACTTATACATACTCACAAAGTAATGGAAAAGCCATGAGTACACACATGCAAGGAGGTACTTACGTTTCTGTTTCCCGTTAATTCATGCTTCACATTAAACCCGAAATTGACTATCCTGCAGCTGTACGTTTCCCTTAACTAAAATCTCTGCATAATAGTTGTGAAATAAATAGTCTGTGTCATTCTACCTGAATGTAGTTTTAGTGGCCAAGAACAAAACCTTTATGTCTTTTCGAACAAATTACAGTACCACAAGATTAATCAGTATAACGCGAAAGTTTCCATTACAAAGCTGATTGGTGTATTTGATAAGAAGTAGAGTAGACCTCAAGATTATTCAGATGGTACTGGTTGTTATAAATAGATACATAATTTCAACAGTTAAGTTGCTTGAATAATAGTCGTGTGTCATAGCTCAGAATGCGTCACATACTTCTGGCATATGAAAATAAAACAGAACGTTCCGTATTTAGGTTTGAATGTCTTACATAGTCAGAGAAAAGAACAGACCAAATTAATGGTCAGTTTAACTGATACACAGAAGATTAAGATTTCGAGAAAACTTTCCTTCGTTACAAGAATTTAGAAGGTAAAAAGTTAACTTATTAAGAAGGATGATAAAAATATTTTATAAGTGCAAACGTAGCATTGTCAGCATACTTTAATTCTGAATTCCAAATGACTTAAAATAAGATCTGTAATACTTACACCCCACTTACATAACCTTGTTCATTTCATAACAATTTTTGCTTGTGCAATTGATGATATAAGTAGCGCTTAAACCACTACTATATCTGTCGTGTCCCAATCGACCTGGTATTTGGCGAAAGCCTTATCGGCGGTGGATATGTCAGATATAATTTGTTTGACGTATTATTGTATATTATTCTTTGTTTCCACTCGTTAGTTCTTAGAAATAATAAAATATATAATTTGAGAAATAAGAAGCTTCGTAAGTTGTGTAAAAATGTGATTCAGCAGAAATGATTTTTTATATGAAAGTAACAATTCAAAGCTTCAGTTACCAACATCATATTAACGTCTTAACGAGGAAGGTAAGGTGTCCTTGACAAATGTTCAATTCCTTACCTTCCTGGATATACAGTTATCTTTTATTTGTCAAAAGGAGAAATATAATTAGTTTGAATTTCGCGCAAAGCTACACGAGGGCTATCTGCGCTAGCCGTCCATAATTTAGCACTGTAAGACTAGAAGGAAGGCAGCTAGTCATCACCACCCACCGCCAACTCTTG